ATTAGCTTCTTCCGCTTCGCTTCGGGTGATCCTTTCGCTGTTTCGCTTCGAGTAGTTCCGATTACTAACTAACTGCGTAATATCTCCGCAACGCTTTTATAGCAGATACCACATCCCGAGAATTATCGAGAATATTTCACTCATTTCGAGTATTGTGCTTCTGCTATCTAACAACAGATGGCGTTGTACTTCTCGAGCGTTCTAGGTGCTACTAGAACCTTCGATATTCGTTCGACTATTCGGCGATAGATGGCGTTACTCTTACCGGCGTATGAATATTAATACGTAAAGCAAAAGCTGTACCTTTTTTAAGAAAATTGCGCGGACGAAGGAGTATGAAATTTCTCGCACTTATAGAGAATATAGAGAAGGAGGGCAGAATGCAAATATTTTTTAAATTATGCATAAAAATACATTCAAATCAATAAATAAAGCATTACATACACTGCCATGTATTTGACACACACACGCATATATTTTTGTTTTGTTTTGTTTATCGCTCTTTTGTTTATTTTAAAGTTCGTAGTCAAATTGAGAATAGAATAATATTGTTTGTCTTTAATATTATTTGTAACATGATATATGGTAAAAATTAGAATAATCAAATACTTAGGTACTAACAAAAAACATGTTCTTGAATGTGTTATTGAGTTTGCCCCTTTTTTTTTAATTAAGCCTTTTGTACGGAAATAATTAAGAACCGGTTTGTAATATTTGAAGATATAATATATAAAATAATTTACAATGGGAGTTTTGAAGCGTTACGTGGCATACCACGCTGAAGCAACTTACAGCGTTCCGTTATGTAGGTACCATAGCTGGTGATTAAGATTGGTTGGTGGATTTTTATTTGTGGTAGGACATTATTGTGAGCTCATACGGGTGGGTACCAAGATCGTTGCCTATTTTTGTCGCGAAGCATTTTTTATTCTTTTATTGCTTAGATGCGTGGACGAGCTCACAGCCCACCTGGTGTTAAGTGGTTACTGGAGCCCATGGACATCTACAACGTAAATGCGCCACCCACCTTGAGATATAAGTTCTAAGATCTCAGTATAGTTACAACGGCTGCCCCACCCTTCAAACCGAAACGAATTACTGCTTCACGGCAGAAATAGGCAAGGCGGTGGTACCTACCCGCGCGGACTCACAAGCGGTCCTACCACCAGTAAAAATGTCAATTATGTCAATTAATTTAATAATAATTGTAAATAGAAATGCTTTAACAAAAACGGACTTCAAATAGAAAAAAAAGATATTCCGAAACAAATTAATATATACTAAAAACAGTAATAATCGAAATCGGTTGGCGTGATATTGAGTTATTCATCTATTTGTCGCGCACGTACTTAATGCAAATTTAAGACTTACATGGTTTTCTTAGGTATACTGTTATCAGAACGGGACTAAAAGGACCACACGGGAAGCGACAGCTTTCTAATAAAAAAAGAATCATCAAAATCGATTCACCCAGCTAAAAGTTATGAGGTAACAAACATAAAAAAACATACAGTCGAATTGAGAACCTTCTCTTTTTTTGAAGTCGGTTAAAAACGCGAGACATTTTATAACATAATCACTACATAGTATAAAACAAAGTCGCTTTCTCTGTCCCTATATCTGTTTGTTTTTTTTTTTTTTTTTTTTTTATTGCTTAGATGGGTGGACGAGCTCACAGCCCACCTGATGTTAAGTGGTTACTGGAGCCCATATACGTCTACAACGTAGACGCGCCACCCACCTTGAGATACAAGTTCTAAAGTCTCAGTATAGTTACAACGGCTACCCCCACCCTTCAAACCGAAACGCATTACTGCTTCACGGCAGAAATAAGCAGGGCGGTGGTACCTATCTGCGCGGACTCACAAGAGGTCCTACCACCAGTAATTACGCAAATTATAATTTTGCGGGTTTGATTTTTATTACACGATGTTATTCCTTCACCGTGGAAGTCAATCGTGAACATTTGTTGAGTACATATTTCATTAGAAAAATTGGTACCCGCCTGCGGGATTCGAACACCGGTGCATCGCTTCAACACGAATGCACCGGACGTCTTANAATCGTGAACATTTGTTGAGTACATATTTCATTAGAAAAATTGGTACCCGCCTGCGGGATTCGAACACCGGTGCATCGCTTCAACACGAATGCACCGGACGTCTTATCCTTTAGGCCACGACGACTTCATCGATTCGACTTCACGACGATTTGTCCCTATGTATGCTTAAATCTTTAAAACTACGCAACGGATTTTGATGCGGTTTTTTTTAATAGATAGAGTGATTGAAGAGGAAGGTTTATATGTATAATAACATCCATTAAATAGTGGAGAAATTAATAATAAATTACAGTTTCCGAAGCGAAGCGAGGTCGCGGCGGGTCGCTAGGTACATATATAAAAACGAAGTCAGGAGTTTATTTAGTTAAAAAAAATCGCTTGAGCCAAGTCAAATCAAACGGAGATAACACAAATACGTATGACGAATTTGTTTTTAATTGCTCGATGTCACCCCTTTATCTTGGAACCATATCGAGGGGTGAAAGGCTATTTAGTTTAAGTGACTTTTTGCAGCTTTATACGAGAGCGATTTAAGGCTTAAATTAGAAAAAATATGTACGGATTAAACTTAATTGAAGTTCAATTAAAAACGTCGAAGCGTTAATGATAATACCAAATAAAACGGATCTTTAATTACAAAGAGAAATGTCGCGTTTTAAGCGAAATGTCGCTTAAACGAAATAACCTTTCGCGTGGTGGTAGGACCTCTTGTGAATCCGCTCGGGTAGGTACCACCACCCTGCCTATTTCTGCCGTGAAGCAGTAATGCGTTTCGGTTTGAAGGGCGGAGCAGCCGTTGTAACTGTACTGAGATCTTAGAACCTATATCTCAAGGTGGGTGGCGCATTTAAGTTGTAGATGTCTATGGGCTCCTGTAACCACTTAAGACCAGGTGGGCTGTGAGCTCGTCCACCCAGCTAAGCAATAAAAAAAAAGCGATATATTTTTCTGAAAATTCGAAAACCCGCTTGAAGATTTTAGCCCCGATTTGGTCATCACATCACTATAATCTAATAATATTCATAGTTTAAGGAATAACCGTTAATATTATAATTAAGTATAAAGTTTTCCAAGAAGATTATTTGCTTAGATAATACAATTTATATTAACCTGTTTTATTCATTAACATTAATCATACACATACTTGTGTGATGTTTTTTTTTCTTCATATTCTTGCGTCACGGATCACTATGGTTTTTATTAAATTAATGTTTAAAATATGTGACCTCTGTGATTGTCCATAAATCAGATTTTAAATTGATTTTCTAATGTCCGGACCGCTCTCAAGGTTTTTTGGAGCCAATTAAAGTACTTTAGGGATTCGTGCATAGTACGACCGACATTTTTTTATTGTCTCTTTAACTGCTCGACCGCGTAAAAGTTAACTCAAATTTGTATGCTGTTTGGACTGTGTCCCTAGCGGCAAAGGTAAACAAACGTTCCAACTCCATACAAAATTGAGTTAACTTTTACGCCATCGAGAACGTTAAAAAGCTCACACTAAGCTCAAAAGCAGCGTATTACACCATTTGGCAGCGATCGGGGAATGTCGTGGAGGAGAGCTCATTCCAGAGCTTGTATTTTGGCAAAAATTAATGAACTCCGGTAACCACTTAACACCAGGTGGACTGTGTGTTCGGCAAAGCATTAACGCAATAAAAGAAAAAAAAATCTTGTTAAATGTTAAAAACATGTAATTCTTATCACCACCGTGTATTTTATGAGCCGTTAATGTGTTTTAAATCGTAAAAATAAGACAATGTTGCCTCTTGGTTTGTTTCTTAACCGGGTGAAGGTTGAACTAACTAACACATATAAGTGGACTCTCAATAAATTACTGCTCTTCTCTACAACCGCAAACTATTAAAGTCTAGACAAAGAAAATAACATCCCATTAGGGTTACCTTTATTCTAGATTGACTTCCACGGTGAAAGAATAACATCTATACTAATATTATAAAGAGGAAAGATTTGTTTGTTTGTTTGTTTCGAATAGGCTCCGAAACTACTGGACCGATTTGAAAAATTCTTTTTCCATTAGAAGCTGACATTGTCCCTGATGAACATAGGCTACTTTTTTTTAATTTTTTTTATATTATTTTTTTGTTTCATTTGTGTTTTAATGTTTCCGAAGCGAAGCGAGGGCGGGTCGCTAGTCGTGTAATAAAAATCGAACCCGCAAAAATTATAATTTGTGTAATTACTGGTCCTATACGAATTTCAAATTTTCAGTACAAATCGCCAAACCCCCTTTTTTTTGGTCAAGAGGAATTTGCCGGACTTCCGTCTTCCACTGCGGATGGAGGGCGGGACATGTCGGAGTCGAACTGACTAAAACCTCCTGTCGCTCAACAACCCACATCCAAGCTTCGCATGAGACAGAACTCATGAAAAGGCAAAGGGGAGAGAGTGAAGCGTTTAGTGCGGAGCACATCTCTCCCATCACCCTCCCCCACTTTAACCCCTATTAATATTGAATAAACATTATCCTTATCACACTTTAATGTCGTATGGCGTATGATTTTAAAATATTATCAACATAATTTGAGTGCTATAATAACATTTAAGGTAATTATATTGAATTTTTGTGATGAAAAATAACAATGTCGCCATTATTATTATAATCATTGTTATTATAGATGTATTATAGGTATATTATATGTATGTATATGTATTAAAAGTATATTAGAGGTATTTTTTTAACCTACCTATGCAGATAACCTTGAGAGGCTATTTCAGCTTCGCCCTAATATGTAGGTGAGCTCACGGGGCTCAAATCGGAGTGTTTCTAACACTGGCCCTAGCAAGAGCAGTGCTTCGCAGAATCTACCACCGGATCGGAAACGCGACCCACTGAGAAGATCCGGCGAGAAACTCAGTGGGCAGGAGGTATATAGATGTTGCGAGCTTTATATAAAATTATCGTCATAATTTTCAGATGCCTGCCTTTACAAAAGAGGTCCATCACCTGGTTTTATATTTCTATTCGACATGCGCGGTGTACGTTTTGGACACATAACGAGAATTAGTTTATTGTAAGTATGTTATTTAATTTAATATATTGTTTCCAGTGGCATACCCTTATAAGTGAGATATAATAAGATTTATCGTCGTATCGTGAGATATAATAAGATTTATTATCCCTATAACGTCAAAGTACCATATAAAAAGAACACTGAGAAATTAAATTTCACTAATTTACTCAATATGTTTATTTATTGTACACATCAAAAGTCAGCTGCTCACGATTTTGCGTGAGACCCGCGGCCATGGCTCTAAGAATCTGGTTCACAGAAAAAAAGTGGGTAAACAAGTATTTATGATTCACTTAGCAACCGAATATCTTTATTCATGTACATATATTAATATATATTATTTAGTTTTCGGGATCTTCTACTCTAGTATGACTATTATATCGAGACGTAAACCGTTTTTTTTGGGCTTCAACGAAATTTTTGCAACTTTACAGTTCAGTCATTTAAAGTTTACAGTTTGGAAGAAATATCATAACAGAAAAGTTCAGATTTTTTTATTGCTTAGGTCGGTGAACTGGCTCACGGCCCACCTGATGTTAAGTGGTTACCCGAGCCCATAGACATGTACAACGTAAGTGCTGCCACCTACCTTGAGATATAAGTTCTAATGTCTTACAATTCAACGGCTGTCCCACCCTTCAAACCAGAACACATTATATTATAATTTTGGTAAAATTTTGTATTTATACCAACATAAGATTACCTAAACCCTTTGGAACCTCTGGAAGAATCTAAGTTTTTTATCCCAGCACCACGACATGTCCTTCAAACTACGAATAAATAAACGATTGTTCTTAACTGATACCTGGCCGTATTTATACGTGTATAAACCGCGCAAATAAAGAAACGAATCTAAAATGGCGGCGGCGATCATGCGCTCTCACTCTAAACTATTGCTGTCTTTAGTCGCACACGGCGCGTACTGCATGCAAAAAAAATATCAGTTCTGAATAAATATATATCAAAATATCAAATAAATAAATAATTAATAAATATATATATTTTTGTTGCGTCCCAGATGAGACACCTCCCCCTCTGCCAGGGCACCAAAGTAAAGTACATTCACATTTATTTTTTTATATTTTTTTGCAATAAACTACTTTTTCTTTGTATCTTTCTTTTTTTATTTGTTGACCCTACCATCTGTCAGTGCAGGTACATAGACGCCATTTTCGATTCGTTTCTTTATTGGCGCGGCTTATACATAATCTACTGCTCTTGCTAGTGTTAGTAAATTCTCTCAGGTTGAGCCCGTGAGCTCACCAACCCGTCCGGGCGTAGCTGGAATAGCCTCTTAGGCTACCAACGTATAAGTAGGGGAAAATAAAGAGTGACCACCTTCTTTACATTCTTTACAAAAGCTGTAAATACTCCCGTTCGTTCGATTAAGCTTGACTTAACCTTTCTTCACTACATAGTATAAAACAAAGTCGCTTTCTCTGTCCCTATATCCCTATGTATGCTTAAATCTTTAAAACTACGCAACGGATTTTGATGCGGTTTTAATAGATAGAGTGATTGAAAAGGAATGTTTATATGTATAATAACATCCATTAAATAGTGGAGAAATCAATAATAAATTACAGCTTCCGAAGCGAAGCGAGGGCGGGTCGCTAGTTCGTGATAAATCGCAACTATACCAATGAACTAGTAGAAATTTAACATATTAAACCTGACCATACTTGTTGTTGTTGGTGATTTCCCTAACGTTTCGCCCTCGTGGTATCCATTTCAAATTAATTCAATTCTCCCAAAAAAAGGTGCGTTAATGCGCTAGTATACATTTAGTACTAGTAAAGTAATTAAATTTTAAATCATATTTTTAATTATTTTTCTCAAAATCTCTTAGCTGTCAAAAGGAAAGAAAAAGGTAAAATATGGTATTGTTTTTTAGTTGTCGTGTTTATTTCATTCGAAAATTCTAGTTCACATACATTCATCTTAGTCGTGGTGGCCTAAAGGATAAGACGTCTGGTGCATTCGTATCGACCGATGCACCGGTGTTCGAATCCCGCTGGCGAGTACCAATTTTTCTAATGAAATACATATTTCATTAAAAAATTGGTAGTGGTAGTGGCCGTGGCCACGGTGAAGGAATAACATCGTGCAATAAAAATCAAACCCGCAAAATTATAATTTGCGTAATTACTGGTGGTAGGACCTCTTGTGAGTCCGCACGGGTAGGTACCACCGCCCCGCCTATTTCTGCCGTGAAGCAGTGATGCGTTTCGGTTTGAAGGGCGGGGCAGCCGTTGTGATTATACTGAGACCATAGAACTATATCTCAAGGTGTGTGGCACATTTACGTTGTTGATGTCTATGGGCTCCAGAAACCACTTAACACCAGGTGGGCTGTGAGCTCGTCCACACATCTAAGCAATAAAAAAATAAAAAATCTTACGTAAAAACGCATGACCCAGAATCTGTTTTATGGTTTAATCTATTTTAAAAGCACTAACTTAGTATTACCTCATCACGCAACAGTAGGAAAAGTCCTCACAATGTAGCTTGAATTCCTTAGTGGATTGTAGCAAGCATTTTCGCTGTGCCCCTAACAATGACTATAGTCAGGTGTTCGGTAAGCTTGTCTATATTCTCTGGGTAATATAAAATTAATGTATTAAAAATAAGATAAAACCATATAATATATGAGTTTCAAGTTTCTTTGTAGATTTAAATGAGAAAAAATTGTAACTAAATTCTAGATTGTTCTTTTTTAATATTCATAATGAGTATGTTATTTTAAACTGTATAAATTTATATATACGTATTTACAGTGACATCTCTTCGATTATTATATATACGCTTTCTATAAAATGTAATGATACTATTCAGTAAACAGTTTTATTACAAACTGGATTTTAAGAAACTTGATTTTTAATTTGATACTTCTTATACATTAAATTACATGTTGTTTTGGAATATTTAAAAAACTGTACATCGTAATGGTTAAATTTATTCAAATATGGAAATTTTAATTTATTTGTTTGGAATAATTTGTTTTAGAATAAATTAATTGTAATAGGTACCGCTAAAATTTTATAGTTTCATGGTAGAAGCATAGTTGTGAATTTATAAAATAATTTACCTATTTTTCCTTTTTCTTTTTGTCTTTGCTCGTTTTCAAAGCCAAGAGTCGGCGATTTAGAAAATTTCTCAAAGCTTAGAGGAAGCTTCTTTCGAATATAATTGAAATCACGTCCCTAGCAAAATTGTTTTTGATTGCTTAAAATGGTGATGAATTCAGGGATTACACTGTGTTAAGTGATTTCCCATAGACATCAAAAACGTAAATACTACGTAAACTATCACCAATCAATTAAATTGTAGTGCCAATCCAGTCCAAATTCTTCGATTTACCAAATTTCCAAAAACATTTTCTTTTGTCTCCACCTTATCCCACTAGGTGGGGTCAGCAACATTCACTCCTCTCTCTCTCTCATATCGTCATTCATACACTCCATCCATCTCTTCTTCAGTCGACCTCTTTCCCCTCTACCTTGCCCCCCCTTTTTTACTACCATTTCCATACACATCTCCTAGTCACATGCATCTCCTGTCTACGCATCACATATCAATACTACGCTAACCGTCCGTCCTTTATTTTTTCAATCACCCAATTCCCAAAAACGTAACACCAACGTAGCGTTGTTAACCGACTTCAAAAAAGGAGAAGGCTCTCAATTCGACTGCATGTTTTTTTTATGTTTGTTACCTCATAACTTTTGACAAGGTGAATCGATTTTGATGATTCTTTTTTTATTAGAAACCTGACTGTGTAGTCCCATTTCAATTTGGTCCAGTTCTCATAATGGTATCCATGAGAAAACCATATAAGTCTTTAAATTTGCATTAAGTACGTGCGCGACAAATAGATGAATAACTCCATAACTCAAAATCACGCCAACCGATTTCTATGATTATTGTTTTTTTTTAGTGTATATTAATTTGTTTTTTTTTTAAATCGGTTTTTCTTAAGACATGTCTATTTACAATTATTTGCAAAACAATTCCAGGTCGCTGCGTAAATTCTTCATTTACATTCAGGAAGGCGTCCCGGTCCGTATGCGGGCTATCCACGTTCTGAACACCGAACCCGTTTTGGATAAACTCATATTGTTGATCAGGCCGTTTATGGACAAAAAGTTTTTTGACATGGTGAGTGCAATCGACATTGACCGCGCTTTTCTTAGTGAGAAATTAACGATACTAGAGGTCCCGCAGTAGTCGAAATTCGACTATAATTAATTGGTATTGTAAGTTTGTACACTACTATGATTGTATTTTATATTTCTATAATCACAAATTTCGCCAAGACTACTCTATAAAAAATATTAACAAAGACAAACAATATTTAATCTCAATTTGACAACAGACGTCAAGAACAAAAGTTTGACAATAAATAGTATGCATGTGTGTTTCAAATACATGGTATGTAGTGTGTGTAATGTTTTCTTTATTGATTTAATGTATCTTTTATGCATTATTTTAAAAAAATATTAGCATTGTGCACTTCTTCTCTATATTCTCTATAAGTGTGGAAAATTTCATTCTCCTCCGTCCGCGCAATTTTCGTAAAAAGGGATACAAAATTTTTGCTTCACGTATTAATATATAGATTACAACGCGAATAGCATCGCTAGTATTGTTCTAATATCGTCTCCTCGCATTAAAACTGTATAATCTCAAACTTTTTAATTTTACAGGGGAGTGTTTTAAAGATAATGTTAATGTAATATCTAGGTATAAATATAAAAATGAATTGCTGCTCGTTAGTCTCGCTAAAACTCGAGAACCGCTGGACTGATTTGGCTAATTTTGGTCTTGAATTATTTGTGGAAGTCCAGAGAAGGTTTAAAAGTATGAAAGTGCTCGGAAATAAATAATAATAACAATTTTGTTTTTCCTTTGATATGCCCCCCGTTGGACGGATTCCTTTTGTTTGTTTTAAGTTTATTTTATACAAAAGTTTAAGTCTTTTATTTCTCGATTGAGGCACTACGAAGTCAGCCGGGTCAGCTAGTCTTTAATATTAATCATCTTTGCAACATTTATTTTTTATGTTTTACGAGTTACATTATCTGTATTTTAAAGTAAGATTAAATTATGTATTAATTTTGTTAATAGTAGTCAAAACATAGGTAATCTAAAAAAAAAAAACTAAGCTACGCTCTTTTGACAGTATTTATGAGAAAAATACTGGTGATACCAAAGGTTTCCGCATATTAACTCAATTTCGAATGTTTTTGGAAATTGTACACTTTTAATGCGAAAAGGCGATATATGTATGTAGGTGTGGGTCTAAATGAAATCACTATTTCTTGGGTTTAACTATACCTTTTATTTAATTTCTTAAAGAGCACCTTAAACACGTCTTACTTTTTTGGCGGCGTCGTGCGAGAGAAAGAGCTAGAGCCACATCCGTCCCTTTCACACATTATGCGTTCAGAATCCTTTCACTCGTTCAGAAATGTTTTACAATAATTAGAAATGTTAGTAATAATTAAATCCTACAACTCGGCCTTCCTGCACATCAGTGTGGCCTCAGACTGAAAGTACTGAAATAATAAAATAGTTCTTATGAATTAAAAATAAAAATAACAAAAATAAAATCTCTAACTTTACCTTAATATACCTAATACTACTATGCTATTTTTTTTTAAACATTTTACACAATAATAACGCTACAAAACATATTTTTAGTTAAACCCTATACTACCTATTACAACCAATCATGCTATACTCTGCACACAGCTAATAAAAACAAATAGTAATTACTCTTACTTAGTACATAACACAACAAAAACAGTAGGTTTTAACTATCAGTTTAGAGGCAAACAAGTTACAATGACACAGAGAACAGCAATGCATAATAATTATTCACAGTTACTTATTCAATAACAAAATGAGCAATGTAAATACTAGATCAACCTAAAATAAACAAACAGGGTAGTGTTATAATGCACCTCAACACTCAAACTAGAGTTAGATTGAGTCAAGGCCACCTCTTCATGAAATCTAATGCTGATGTAGTTCGTACTGGCCCATCTTTGCTTCTGTCTATTTTTTCGACCTCATATCGACCTTTCCCCGTTTCCCTAGTGATGCGATATGGTCCATAAAATTTAGGTTTAAATTTTAGGGCGTTCCCAAATTGTGTCCTTTGAATAGCTACAAGATCTCCAACTTTGTACATTTCTCCTACTTTACGTCCTTTATTATTCTTCTTCTTCTCAGTCGTTCACTCCTGGCGGAGTGGTCGTGGTTACGTAAGTCTTAATATTTGGTTGCGGCTTTTGAGAGACTTCTCCATCCTTCTCTATTTGTGGCGGTACGTGTACACTCAGTAAGGGAACACTTCGTAGACAACTTAACCAAGTCTGTCCACCTTGTGGGTGATCGCGAGAGCGTTGACCGTCTACTCTTCCTTGAACCACTAAACGTTCCAATGAGCTTTCATTACGAATGATATGTCCAAACATATTAAGGATTCGCAATTGCACAATCGACGAAAGCCTTTGTTTGATTTGGAGCTCTTTGAGGATGGATACATTAGTGCGGTGAGCAGTCCATTTTATCCTCAGCAAGCGTCTCCAGCACCACATCTCATTTATTATAAGTCTTTCTATTCTCCTCTTGCATTCTTAAAATTTGAGCTTTGGCTTCTCTTCGTGCTTCTTCTCTCCTATTCATAAATTGCAATCTATTTTCTTCTTCTAAATATTCTAAAATTGATAAATCTTCTTTCAGTTTAAGTTTCACTCCTGTTAACAGTTCAAATGGTGTAGTACAGATTGCCCGCTGGTATGTGCTGTTTATCACTTGCTTGTATATTTGTACCAGTGACCAGGTTCTTCAATACACATCTTTGTCAAAGCAGAAATAATAATACTGTTCATGCGTTCTACTTGGCCATTTCCACGAGGTATTCCAGTAGTGATTGTAACATGTTCGATGTCTTCTTCTTCACAATATTCTCGGAACTCACTGCCTGTGAATGCTGTACCTCGGTCAGTGATAATCCTCCGTGGGCTGCCAAAATCCTTTTGATGTAACCTCAATTTTTCTACAGTTTCTTTTGCTGTTACAGTTTTAACCTGATAAATCCACACAAACTTTGTAAATCCATCGATTATAGTAAGTATGTAGTTATACATTTTCTTAGTTGCATCTAAGGGTCCTAGGTGATCACAGTGAAGAGTATCCAGTGGTAATTCTCCTTTTTCTATTGGATTTAACAAACCTTCCTTCTTTCCAGACTTCCTGCTTGCTAATAGACATGGTATACATGTAGAAATTACTTTTTCAATTTTGCTATCCAATTTAGTAATAAAGTAATCTTTCTCTATAATATCCCTTATCTTCTTTTTACCAAAGTGTCCTGTACAATGTGCTTTCTTAATAGTTTCCATATCCAGTATCTTAGGTAACACCAACTTCTTTTCTATACCCTTGTAAATAACTCCATTCTCAAGGAAATAATCTTCATACTCATTTTCTTCTAAGATTTTTCTGATAACCTTCAAACTTTCGTCATCTGCTTGAGCCTTCTTCACTCTTGCGTGTAACTCGACATCAACAAAAAGTATGTTTTTGCTCAATGCATCAGCATGTTGCTTAACTAACTGTTCTTCAGTGATAGATAGTCGTCTTGGTCTTTGTGAAATTGGTACATCATCCTTCAACACAATCTTCAGCCTGATAGGTGCATCTTTGGTCTTCAAAGGTGTGTAACTGTCAATAATTTCCCTCACCGCTGTACACTGGTCATTGCTACTGGAAAATAGACAGATAGCATTTTGATACGAAATGTCATAACAAGGAGGCCTGACCTCAACCATACCCTTGTCAATAACTGTGATAGTATTTACTAAAAATTGTTGACCCAGTATTACATCATACGGTATCCCACCTGTAGGTACAATATACAAATTAATACTATATCTGTGACTGTCAATAGTTAAATCTGTGTCGAACTTACCAATCGAATATACTTTAGAACTTCCTAACCCAGTAAGCAACATTTTTTCTGGTATGTACTCGCATTTTAGTTTTGTAAACAAATCAAAAGTTATTAAATTTAAGTCGCTACCTGTGTCAATTAAACAATTAGTCACATAGTTACCAACTTTTACTGATTTTACACTCATGTTTATAGAATCACGTTTGTTTACATTTAATAAATTTGACGAAACAATATGATTTAGTTGTTGACAACTAAAATTTGGCATATCACTCACTTGCTCTTTTAAATCGCATTGCTCACGTTCGTATAGTTCGTTCTCGTTCTTCTCGTCGTCCTCCTGCTGTCGAACAAACATAGATCGCCGATCTTGTTCATCACCTCCTCCATAATAATTATTTGATGCTTTTTTAGCTTCCATACCTTGTGATGCGCGGCACTCCGTACCCTTGTGCCCGAACCCGTTGCACTTGAAGCATTTGATACCTCTGCGGCAGGAACTAGATAGGTGCCCTCTTTCACCACAATTGTAACATCGATGAACCTGTCTAGGCATTACCGCCGTGTCTCGCTGACCTCGTCTCATGGTATCAACACTTTTTTTGGACTTCTCTTTGAAACTTTCATATAATACTAATTTCTCCTTGAGCACAGAATACGACGTTACCCCGTAGAATAACAACTTGTTAGATTCATAGTCAGATATTCCGTCGATTATATACTGAATCGCGACGTAATCCGGAAACTTAGCTCTTTTTCCGAGTTCTTTCATTACGAGCATATATTGATAAAACGACTCATTGGGTTGTTTTTTCCGTCTGCTCATTGTCTCATGCATTTGTTTACTGTTTATCACCTCAGGGAATTCCTTCATCAAAGCCACTTTTAGTTCTTCGTAACTTCTGAAAGTTTTTTCGCTTTTTAGCCATAATTCTGCTGTTCCAGCTAAACATCGTCGCGCTATAATGAGTTTCTGCTGCTGGCTCCACCCAAATATATCAGCATTATCGTCGAGATCTTGTGTCCACTTCGCAGAAGAGTACGTGATGTCATCACCCGTGAACTTTGGCACAGCGTCCATCGTGTAAAATAAATTCTTGCTATCGTCGTTTTTGCTCTCCGCCATCGTGCAGAATCGTCGTATATCGTCGTATAAATGCGTCTTTCGTCTTTGAAAAATGTAACCGGCGGCGTGGCGTCGGCGCAGGTTAAGTATGGCGGCCGCGGCGTTGTTCACACCACGCGACAACTTCGTAAAATATGCGTAGATACNATATTCATGTTTCATTTTATGTACGCACTGAAATACTGTTATATTGTTTTCCTGCGAGTTAAAGTGCTGAGTAAGAACGAGATAGATATATGTTTATGTATGTGCCTTCAAAATGGGTGCTATTTATATAAGCAATTGTACGTATAGAACAATATGTCGTGTCCCTACTATATAGGTCTATGAACAATATGAATTAGTTGTTGACAACTAAAATTTGGCATTTCACTCACTTGTTCATTTAAATCGCATTGCTCACGTTCGTATAGTTCGTTCTCGTTCTTCTCGTCGTCCTCCTGCTGTCGAACAAACATAGATCGCCGATCTTGTTCATCACCTCCTCCATAATCATTATTTGATGCTTTTTTAGCTTCCATACCTTGTGATGCGCGGCACTCCGTACCCTTGTGCCCGAACCCGTTGCACTTGAAGCATTTGATACCTCTGCGGCAGGAACTAGATAGGTGCCCTCTTTCACCACAATTGTAACATCGATGAACCTGCGTTGGCACAGGTTCCGTCTTCATCCTAGGCATTACCGCCGCGTCTCGCTGACCTCGTCTCATGGTATCAACACTTTTTTTGTACCTCTCTTTGAAACTTTCATATAATACTAATTTCTCCTTGAGCACAGAATACGACGTTACCCCGTAAAATAACAACTTGTTAGATTCATAGTCAGATATTTTGTCGATTATATACTGAATCGCGACGTAATCCGAAAACTTAGCTCTTTTTCCGAGTTCTTTCATTACGAGCATATATTGATAAAACAACTCGTTGGGTTGTTTTTTCCGTCTGCTCATTGTCTCATGCATTTGTTTACTGTTTATCACCTCAGGGAATTCCTTCATCAAAGCCACTTTTAGTTCTTCGTAACTTCTGAAAGTTTTTTCGGTTTTTAGCCACAATTCTGCTGTTCCAGCTAAACATCGTCGCGCTATAATGAGTGTCTGCTGCTGGCTCCACCCAAATATATCGGCATTATGGTCGAGATCTTGTGTCCACTTCGCAGAAGAGTACGTGATGTCATCACCCGTGAACTTTGGCATAGCGTCCATTGTGTAAATTAAATTCTTGCTATCGTCGTTTTTGCTCTCCGCCATCGTGCAGAATCGTCGTATATCGTCGTATAAATGCGTCTTTCGTCTTTGAAAAATGTAACCGGCGGCGTGGCGTCGGGGCAGGTTAAGTATGGTGGCCGCGGCGTTGTTCACACCACGCGACAACTTCGTAAAATATGTGTAGATACGTTAAATCATTTAGACCCTGATGTTCCTGAGTATCCCGGACGAGAAATTGTAGGTGTGGGTCTAAATAAAATCACTATTTCTTGGGTTTAACTATACCCACCTTAAACACGTCTTACTTTTTTGGCGGCGTCGTGCGAGAGAAAGAGCTAGAGCCACATCCGTCCCTTTCACACATTATGCGTTCAGAATCCTTTCACTCGTTCAGAAATGTTTTACAATAATTAGAAATGTTAGTAATAATAATAATTAAATCCTACATGTATGTACAGATTGAGTTCTTATTCTGAGATTAGAATGATTGGTGATAGGAAAACATAAGTCGTCTGGAAGTCGTGATCTAAAGGATAAGAGGCCTTATATCTGGCGATGAGACTATAGCGGTGTTTAAATCCCACAAGTACCGATTTTTCTATTATAATAAGCACTCAACTCGTGTTTACGAATGGCTTCTATAATGTTTTTTTTATTATTATCATAATAGGTGGACAAGCTGACGATCCTCTTGGTTTAACGCTATTAAAACGCGAATAGCATCGCTAGTATCGTTCCAATATACAATATACAGGGTGTATTCAAATCTGAAAATAGAGTGATTGCTGATAGGAAAACAAGTTGTCTGGAAGTCGTGATCTAAAAGATAAGATGTCATGTACCTAGCGATGAGACTATAGCGGTGTTGAAATCCCACAAGTACCGATTTTTCTAATAAGCACCTAACTCGTGTTTATCAATGGCTTCTATAATGATTTTTTTATTACCATAATGGCTGGCTGACGACCCACCTGATATTTTGAGTGGTTACCGGGGTCCATAGACATCAACAACGTTTAAAATGAACTATCCTTTACAGGTGTTTCCTTTGTTAAAGCGCGTTATTGATAAGATCTACCTATTTTTATTATTAGAAAATTTAAAAAACATATACATCATATAATAATAATACAATGTGGTTAAGTTTATTTTTGTATTGTGGTTTATTCTAGTTTCAGCTTGGGCAATGTTTTTGAACACCCTGTATATTTTTAAGTGCATTTAATTAGGACTATTCCCGGCCCTTGCAAACAAAAATTAATGCAAAAAATTTGTCGCAGAATCAATCAGATAGTTTCGACTAACAAATAAAACCATTGAAGGCGATCAAATTATTTACTTGCAGATAAAATTCCACAACAAAACCGAAGACCTGGAATCGTTTTACGAAACGGCAATACCCAGGTCTTCGCTGCCACCGGACCACGGGGGAACGCTTCCCGACACCCAGACTCTGCACAAGAAATGCATGCAGCAACTCCAGCTCCTAGAGCCGTACTTCAAGGCTGAAGAGGAACAGAGAATCGCAGCTCTGCCCGACAAGAAACGGGAGAAGGCGATGGAGAAAGCCTTCAAGAATCTAGAGATAGATTAATTTGACAATGTTTTGTATATGTTACGGTAAATGCACGCTCTTGGGAAATGTACACTTTTACCGGTAAATGTGCACGTTTGCCAAAAAGTTAGGTATTACTGGTGGTAGGACCTCTTGTGAGTCCGCACGGGTAGGTATCACCATCCTGCCTATTTCTGCCGTGAAGCAGTAATCCGGTTTCGGTTTGAAGGTTAGGGCAGCCGTTGTAACTATACTGAGATCTTAGAACTTATATCTTAAGGTGGGTGGCGCATTTACGTCGTAGATGTCTATGGGCTCCAGTAACTCCTTCACACCAGGTGGGCTGTGAGTTCGGTCACCCAACTAAGCAATACAAAAAATAAAAAAGGTATATGTGAACTGAATATAATGTATATGTACATTTCCTGGCAAATGTGTACTCTTGCCTTCGCGTTTTGGTAAATGTATACTCTTACCTTCATGTTTTAAGAAAAGTTGTAATCTATATATTAATACGTGAAGCAAAAACTTTGTATCCCTTTTTACGAAAATTGCGCGGACGGAGGAGTATGAAATTTTCCACACTTGTAGAGAATATAGAGAAGAAGTGCACAATGCTAATATTTTTTTAAAATAATGCATAAAAAATACAATAAATCAATAAAGAAAACATTACACACACTACATACCATGTATTTGACGCCCACACACGCATGCATACTATTTATTGTCAAACTTTTGTTCTTGGCGTCTGTTGTAAAATTGATCTATACTTATAGTGGAGTCTTGGCGAAATTTGTGATTATAGAAGTATAAAATACAATCATAATAGTGTACAAACTTACAATTGCAATTAATTATAGTCGAATTTCGACTACTGCGGGACCTCTAGTACAAATAAATTAATAATGTTGTTGCAGTAAAAAATATTTATTTAAATAAACATAATACAAAAGGCTTTATTAATAAAGAAAATTATTTTTTATTAAAAAATATAAATGACAAACAAAACATACTTTTCTTTGCATATTATATAATATGTCGTAGGTTTGGTTACTTATTACATTACTAGCACTTGCGATTTTGTATTTTATATGCTCACATTTACCAAAACGACTGTGGTCATTGTGAATTCTATGTACATTTTCCCTTCTTTGAAATTGTAAATGTTAGTTGAATGCACATTACCCAAACGAGGAGGCTAATGTGCACATTTACCGGAAAATGCCATGTACATTTGCCGCAATATCTACTTTTACCGTGACATATATATCGCCCAATAATAGCCATTGCGCTTTGTATTGAACTCTCTTCTTCCTTGCCTTGTCTAAGTGTTAAGTTTACTTATCTTCATAGTTAGATATTAATGAGAATCTCATAAGGTCGATAATTCGGTGGTTGTCTATTTTTAATTTAAGCATCATTATTTTTACCGATTTAGGATTTATTTTTTCTTTTATAACGAGAAATACATAGGAGATAACAAACAATTACATCTGATACACGTGAAACTAAATTTAAAAAAAAACTTGGTGCACGTGAATGAAGTGAAACTTCTTTTTCTATGTGTAGTATTGTGGTTTTCTTCATTTTGCGACATCTTCAACATTTATATTATATATATATTTTAAATTATAAATAGAAAAATAAAAATATATTATATATTCTTTAAATGCTTCATTGAATTAATGGATGCTACTCGTTGCTAACGCTGGCGCTGTAGCAGGTTCACTCTCGCTCTGTCTCTTTCTATTCCCCCTCCACAGGAGCGTTAAACGTTTAACGCAACCTTGTTGGGAGTCGCATTAGAAATTTCACTTTAAATAATTAATTAAAACTACTTTATGATTTAGTTGTCCGTGAGCTCACGGACAATTGTAAGGTGCTCATATGAACGTCAGAAATAATGAAATGACTATAAAGAAACGCGATATTAAACCGCAAAAATAATTCTATGTTATGTTTATGACCCGCGAAAACCGAATAAAATATTTCACTAACACAATGTAGGTATATAATAATAATATGAAATCGTCGTGGCCTAAAGGATAAGACGTCCGGTGCATTCGTATGTAGCGATGCACCGGTGTTCGATTCCCGCAGGCGGGTGCCAATTTTTCTAATGAAATACGTACTTAACAAATGTTCACGATTGACTTCCACGGTGAAGGAATAATATCGTGTAATAAAAATCAAACCCGCAAAATTATAATTTGCGTAATTACTGGTGGTAGGTCCTCTTGTGAGTCCGCGCGGGTAGGTACCACCGTCCTGCCTATTTCTGCCGTGAAGCAGTAATGCGTTTCGGTTTGAAGGGTGGGGCAGCCGTTGTAACTATACTGAGACCTTAGAACTTATATCTCAAGGTGGGTGCCGCATTTACGTGTAGATATCTATGGGCTCCAGTAACCACTTAACACCAGGTGGGCTGTTTGCTCGTCCACCCATCTAAGAAAAAGAAAAAAAGTAACAGCCAGCCTTAGTGTAGCTTCCTTCTAGCGTTTGGAGATTTGTGATGATATTCTTCTTTAACGGAATATTATGTTAATTACCACTACGGAGCGACTAAACTAGGACCATGACGTACAAACTAAAAGAATTAATCTTTGTAATAAATTCAATAAAAAAAAACTGTTCGATTTAAAACTCACACGCTTGGGTTATGACATTCTATCTATTTATTTATTGAGACATTCGTCACAACATTGTCTGAGTAGAGAGCCGTATTAGCTAATAATTCTCGTAGTATTCTATTGAACAGCATAGTATAGTATAGTATACATTTCTATAAAAGCTTCCACCTCACGTTACAAGGCAGGTGACTATTAGTAATATTTATATTAGTTATTCCTTTATGAAAATAACTTTTAAAATATATTTACTGGTTTATTGAAAATTATGTAGTACTTAATTGTTGTAATACTTATTATTATTTAAAAAAATAAGTAAATATAATACATAAAATACATAAAACGTGTAGCACATTGTATGACAAAAAAAAACTCAGGGACCTGATTATTGTGAAATGGTAGAATAAAGTAGTTTATTTTGTGCTCTGGCATCACTGACATGACAAGTATTGCATTGCATACTAAATAATAAAAAATGTTATAATAAAATTCGTTTAAAAAACGGTAAAGTTTGTTAATGATAATAATTGTACTGATAAGCATTACTCATACATAGTCGAATTTTTTTTATTAAAAAGTAAAATTCGATTTTTATGATTGTTGTTATTCAAATAAATTCAAATACCGTCCGCATCTGACCGAAGTCATTATATCATATTTCTTTGCTGTTTCGTTATTATCGTATAGGTAAAAATTAAACATTTTCCACTTAGTTCTATTTAAATCTTGTTATTTATCTATGTGTCAATAAAAAAAACTACTATAGGTGGTGGTTGTATTAGAACTTATATATATTTACATTAGTACTAAAGGTACAATGTATTAGAAGTGTAGGTATCCATCACGTTTTTTTTTACTTAATTTGTGATAATTGTTGTGGTTTAAAATTATTTGTTTGGTTCAAGGAACCGTCGCTATGTGATTTTAGATTAAAATAAAATGAACAAAAGAAGTTTATGTGTGTTTTCATTTTTTATCATGGTAAAATTCACTTTTTTATTAATTGTTTATTATTTTCTTCTTATTTAAGTCTTCAGTTGACTACAATACATAAAGAAAAGCCAATATTCTATATTCGACGGCTCCAAGCCAAGGTCTGCTGTGGTATGAATGTTAAAACTCAAAGACAACTGAAAATTACATAGAACTCTTCCAGCTACTTCCGGAAGAACAATGGTGTAGCGTGTAAATAAATAGCTACACCATAGTGTGTGATTTGGGAATGGTTAAAAATGAAGCGATGTGATTTGCAGAGAGAGACATTTTGACGGCGCGGGCAAAATGCGAAATCACAACCTGAATCAGAAAATAGAAAACTCGTGACCAACCTGATGCTCTCAAAGTCCTCGTCCTCTGCAGCGGTAGGGCTCCTTAAATAGTTGTTCAGTGGTGAACGGGAAGCGAGCACTTCATAATATTAATTAAAGTTCTGGTATGATAATATGATAGCGGCGCGTAGTCAGTTAAATTTTGCGCGATGCGCGGGAAGAACCAAGAATGCGAATGTTAAGTGTATAATCTATGGTGGCGTGCGTGAGTTCTAAATTCAAAGTCATGTTCTATGGTGATTCATTTTGTAAATTCCTACGCATTCAAGGAGAATTTATTGGATCTCAAAAATGCGGCATCACAAGTGTAAATTTTTTTAATTCAAAGCTGTGTAGAAAAAAAGAAGGTGCTCTTACTCTTTTTAAATATCTGCTCCATAAAAGAGATGGCATTCACACTATGCCGTCTAATAGTTAAGTTTTAATAATATGGAAGTAGATTGATAAATGTTCTTGGATAGTAGAGATAATATTTCAAACATGTGACGCAGAGAGATGATCAGCGCGTTAGAATCCTGCGAAGACTAATAATAACGCTTATGTTATGAAGCTGGTGGAGCAGTGACTGTTTTGTCTCTATATGCTATCTCTCAGAAAAGAACCGTGGGGATCGAAAGCCAATGCTATACCGATATTTGGAATGATAATAAATAATAATACAAATTTAGGTGTGTGTTAAATTTACTACAATATCACCAATCGTTAAATATCCCTCTATAAAATATTGAACTAGCGGCCTCTAGGTGCGGAGTATGCAAGCAATGCACAGAACAAAAAAACGGTTAGATAAATCTCCAAACCATTGCAAACTAAGTTAGGGAAATCAAATAAAATCGTCAAAATAGCAATGACCTTACTATTTCCCTAGGATGGATCGCCAGTTCAATGATCCCACAGGATGTTAAAGGCAGCTACTGAACGCACCTACCACTGTTTCCGATATCGACCTACTAAGTAGAACTGATCAGAAACTCAACATGCTCATATCATTTAATTTTGTTAACTTTCATTCTATAATCAATTACATATTATATTTTACATTTCCCTTCTTATACAACAGACTTTGTTACAAAAGGTTTCGTTGTATGGCCTACGTTCCCTTAGCGTGCTTAATGGACGAATAAAAAAAATAGTTTAACCGTCACTGTACACCTGCCGAGTTTTTTGTTTACATATTTTAAACGGAAAGTTGTGAATGAAAATTATCTTTTTATTTGATTTTATTAATTACATATTTCTCATATGAATGTTCTGTGTTTGTAATTATTCTACCACGAGCTTTATGTACAGATTTGCAGGTGAACATTACTTCTTCTAAAATCTGTGTAACGCTGCTTTAATACTGATAATAACTAATAAATGCGTACGGATGAGTGAATTTACTTTTTCATTGTCCTTAGAACATAATTTTATGGAATTACAACTCTTTTTTACAAATTTATTTGTAGTTTATCCTTTTAAATATATTGTTTTAAGGATACACATACTTCGACGTTTTTCTATCAAACAAATAATACGATTCTAATTATTATGAATAATAGACGTTCAATACCGTAAAATGAATGATATTTCTAATATTAACTATATTTTGTTAAAAATCTCTGACAATCTGATTAACTTCAAAAACAAACGCACATAGGATTTGTTAAAAAAAAAAAAATATCCTGTTTCAAAAAGATGTTATTCTATTTCCAGTTTATTATGGAACCAGTCAACAACAATCAGTTTGAAGTAATACCAGATTTAAATAAAAGGAAGATCACAGCTCCATCACAGAATGTGTACCTCAACCCAGCATTGGATCTTCTTGCCAATGAAGATCCCATGTGCAATAATGCGATGGAAATTGTTCCCATAAAAAAACGCAAACGAGCAAGAAGCTGTGACATAACCGCATTTGAGAATACTGCCCTTGATTTGGGCATAAGTAAAGCAGCGGTCAATGAGTTTTTAGTTAGAGAACTGAACAACGTAAAAAATAATTTAAGAATGCAATCGATGGATATTAATGATAGACCTAGTTTATCATTACCAAACACATCCATAGATAAACCGGAAGAAATTAATATGGAGCCTACGCATTCAGAACCAATTTATGCTAATATTAACACCAAGCCTCTTTCCACAGACACAACTAACAATACCACAGATAGTACTCGAATGTTTGAAATCGCAGAAAATTCCAAATCGGATTATTCCAATAGAGATTCTGGTATTTCAGTTTTAGAACCAAAGAACGTAACCAACACTGATATATCCAGCGTAATGAATCTATCAAATATAACTAATATTGAAAGTACTGTAACAAGCCAAACATGTAGTAACAATACTAACAACATTAGTCTAAGTTTTATAGATCATTTGGCTTTAGACTCACCGAGTGTTTCAAATCAATCACTTTACTTAGACGATGATTTGAATGAAAGCAATATAATGGAAATTAAAACTATAACAATTATAACAAAGAAGAAACGTATACACACATTGAACAATACCAACCCGTTTCTTGTTCCTAACTTCAACACAGGAAGCTATGTACCAAGTAGCAATCCTTTCTTCGATAACATTCAACCAGGAATCGACTATACCAACGAGAATCTTAATATACCAACACAAGAAAGTAATTTATTACCGAGGAAATTATTCAGTGATACCAATAGTACAGTTTCGACTGAAAATGAATCAGGATTCAATATAGAAGGAAATGAATATGAAAAAGTCGATAATTACAGAGCCGAAAGTCCAGTTTACGAAAATATAGACGAGACATACAACAAACAAAGCAAGATATTGGGATGCAACGTTTCACGATTCAGTGCTGATGATATAATGAACATTAATAAAACCAGCCAATCAAACAATGATTTGAACGTAAGAAAAGACATAAAACACCAGTTAATGAAAGTGAAAAATAAATTATCGAAAAAAGTTTTTAAATCGTTGAAAAAAACATTCAGAACCGAGAAGGTTGATAGGACATCGAATCCTTATGAGGTGCCGAGAAAAATGAAACAAAAAACTGAGGTGCCCGGTATAGAGAATCCGGCCCTGCGTTTGGACAACTCCGATGAAATTGAAATAGAAGATGTCGATGAACATGAATATGAAAGTGTAAAAACGCTTAGGAACACTCAATTAAATATGAATCTCACTCCACTGAGAGAGAAAAATGAATGTAATCTCTCACATAACAAAACATACACTCCCGGTAAAAAAGTGCGTTTCGACTCAACTTTAAATCAAGAGAAAGTGATCACCGGCAACAGTTTTGATGGGGACATCCAGAGTCCAGGGTTCGACGTCAAGATAGACAAGTATCATGATGAACTGGAGAATTGTATTAATGAAAAGAAATTCTTGCAACAAAATATGTGATGTTACATAAGGCTGAATTATGGAATAAGTCGTCTTCGTCTCATCATCAGCAGCTTAGACAAAAAAAAACCAATCTATTCTTATGTTTGACCTGAAGTTGCTGCTTTTTCTTCATCGCTTCCTCAATACTGAGGGTCGTGATCACCTTGGTCTAGTTTCTGCACCAGACTCTTCCAACGTTGGCTGCATTCGGCCTGCTTAATAGCGCCCGGGACGCTGGTGTTTGTGGCCTCCCTTACAATGCCCTGCCACCTAGTTGGCGATCTTCCTCGACTTCTCTTTCCTTCCACGTGATCTAGAACTATTAGTTTTCCAAGTTGTCAGGATTTCGTCAAGCCACGTGTCCAAAGTAGTTGAAGAGACGCTGGATACAGATTGGAGTCGTTTACAAATATTATACTTGCGCTTCTGTCTACACCATAAACCGTGACTTCATATTAGCCGAAAGGATATGTCGCCTGGTACACTCTTAGCAAGCGAAGCGACCAAGTCGGTCGTTTTTAAGGTAGCACGTAAGGTAACATTTTAATCTGTTATGTTTAGCTCCAGTAACAAAATAACAGCAAATAGCTGTGTACTCATGCACTCATAAAAATAAAATATTATATGCAAATTAAAATCTTTGCCTAGTAGGTAACTAAAATTAAAATACAGTAGATTGGGGGGAATAGAGACTAGAGTTAGAAATGGGGACAAATCTGGGACGTCACAATACTTTTGTTGAGTTTTTTAGATTAAACTTTGTTGAACTGAAAAATACTTTTATTTAGTATTTAAGAATATTAAATAGTTTAATTTAGTCATCAAAGTTTTGTACCTCATTATAGATATTAAAAAGTTAATTGCCTAGAGGTACCTACCCAATAACTAAATTCAGCCCTATCGAAAAACTCTATTGTCCCCATACGTAACCTGATTCACCCCAAAGCCAAGGTGAATCGGGTCAAGCTAGTTTTTGTATATATTTTGTAATGAACGATGTATAATAATAACGCATCGTATATAAAAATTTAAGCCTCCGGAACCATTTTAATCTCAATTTGATTGGTATTATTACCCTAAGAAAAACCATAGAAAATTTGTGTTGAATTTGGAAAGGGTCCCGATTCCCCCTCAATCTACGGTATAAATTTTTATTATCTCGGTGGTGCAGTAATTAGCGCTCCTGACTGTTGCGCCAAGGGTCGTGGTTTCGATTCTCACATCGGGCAAACATGCGTGTAATAAACAGCTTTGTTTGTTCTTTATTTGCCTGTGTATTATCTATATATGTATATATTTAAATGTACACAAGACTGTATGTCAGTATCTGGTATCTACAATACATGGAATCCTAATTTGGGGCCGAATGACCGTGATTTTTTTTCGGTTATCATTATTTTTCTATTATTTATTATAGATTGTAAAGTTTTTTTTACAAATAACTTAATATATTATGATCTTTCACGGATGCAATCTCTGCTACTCCAGCCTCCAGATATCTCATTATCTTAATATGAATAATTACTCTATACGCTTTTCGAAATACGTCTATTTGGAAAATGAAGCCGTGAGCTTCCCAAAGTTGGCACCGGTTTGAATAATTAATATTTACTGTTCGTTTTCGTTCTTTACATTACCTTTGAGTTTCGGTAACAGCTTAACATCGTGTAGACATATTATATACTGTACTGTATAAGCAGTAAATAAAAAAAAACTAACATTTCAAATCATAATTATAATTGCTTCATGGTTTAATCTCGCGTTTATTATTTTCAATTTATTATTCTCAACAAATTTGAAACGTCTAATCATATTATATCCGAATTTGTAACTTTTTTAAATATTTAGGATTTAAACAATACCTTGTAACTAGGTACCTACCTAGGACCTTGAAAGCTTCAAGTAAGAATTTGTCTTAGGGGTCAATATTTAGATCTCGTGGACCCCAAAATGAATTCTCGCATATGTCGATGGGAAACCTGTTGGTATCGATGGAACCTGGGATCACTTTGGGAATCCCTACCGAAAGCGGTACACGGACCCCTGTCTCGTACTTTAAGATCTAACTTCATAAACCTCTAAGTTAGATTCTGCTATTTTCTTTTTCTTTGTAATTTATAAGTATTCTTTATAAATTAAGTTTAAGTACAAGAATAGATCTCATAAAACTGAAATAAACCCACCAAAATACAAAAGCCAAAATTAATGTTCTGTGAAGAATTCTCGACCTATTACTTCTTAAATTTTAAGTTAACAACATATTTAAATACGTAATACGAATTTTTTCAATAAATTATTTTTAATGGGTATTGTACCTAATAAGTTATTTAATATTCAATAAATTTACCAATAAATCGATAATAGGAATTACGATTTTTTTGTTTTATTTACCTCAGCATAATTTTTGGTCAGGTAGGTACTTGGAAAATTAATAATAATTCCTTAATAGTGGAATAAAAATTACAGTGATTATATCATTATTGAGGTAAACATCGAGGCAGAATATTATCCTCCAGAATGTAGAGCGTCAGTATATATTTTTGATTTTAGTTTTTAAAATGACTACTAGATGCCGCTGATGCTTAGAAAAGCGGATAGCGTTTTGTACTCATGTTTCCTCTGTTAACCCGAATTGTAAAATTATTTGCATCTGCTTTTTATAAAAAAAATATATATTTTGTTTTTATTTTATAAACGTTCTATATTTTTGCCCGTTTTCTCTGCGGTTGTCAGATCTACACCAAACAAGCTAGAAAAAAAAAGCAATAAATATACGCATAGGGGCATAAAGTGTTCCTGAAATTGTTGACAAATTATAAAAAAGGTATTTTTTCCTACCTGTGCTGATAGCTTTGAGAGGCTATTTCAGCTTCGCCTTGACGTGTAGGTGAGTTCGCGGGGCTCAAACCGGGAGTGTTGCTAACACTGGCCCCAACAAGAGCAGTGCTTCGCAGAATCTACCACCGGATTGTAAATGCGACCCACTGAGAAGATCCGGCGAAAAGGTCCAAGCTACCACCTTCACTACTAAGGAGAAAACCGAAGTTGTCAAATTGGTCAACGAAGGCAAATCTTTGGAATTTATTGGAGCGAATCATCCTAATCGATCTGCCTAATACTGCGACTCTTTGTTTGTTATTGCGCTTGTAGGCATTGAGCATACGGCCCACCTGTTGGTGAGTGGTTCCTGTCGCCCATGGACTTCAGCAATGCCAAGGACAAAACCAAGCCGCTGGCTAAAGTGTAAAGTTTGTAATATGCTTACACCAAATTATCAAATTGGCTTTAGAAAAAATGCAATCACTGTCGGCAGATTTATTTGGCTTTAACTTTTTCAAGGTAAATTCGATCTCTAGTGTCAGGTTTTTGGGTTCCAAGGGAAAATCAGCTCCACTGTGTCAAGAACAACTTCGTCGGTAGTAGATTTATTTGCGAAGCAGTTGCCTGAGCGTCTACGAGACCTAACAACTCAAGAGCAACTGCTTCGCGAATCAATCTACTACTGGATCGGAATCGCGACCCGATTAGATCCGGCGAGAAACTCAGCGGGCTGATGCTTAGGTTAGGTCGCAACACTTTGCTGAGTTCGACGAGTACGGTTACCGGAGTCCCTACTTCTAGTGTTAGAGCTAAAGGCGTCTAATGCAAGGGTTATTGGATCCGTAAGGACATGTCTAGGGCATCGACGGTTACTGCATCCTACATGATTAGGATTCGGAGAGCATTGATAATACGTCTCGACGTGTTGACTGAGAGGGTGCACAGTTTTCAAAATCACTGAACACGTAAACGCTTAAACTAACATTAGATTAAACATTAAAAACCATTTCTTTTCCCAACGACCCAAAAACGATATTAGGAAAAACACCAATGAATATGTGTGACAATGTATACAATATTTATTTATTTTATTCTAGGCCAGACACGATCTTGTGAACGAAATGTTTAATACGGATCTGCTCGCCCAATTTCGTCTCAGACTTCATTTCACACAATTTAAGTATTAATCTTCCGGATGTTTCACAAATAGAAAATGGCGTCACGGTGTGCAAAGCCGTAGGTACCGACTGACCTTGGCTGCGATGCACCGTGTCTGCAGTTTTATTGGATAATCTCTTGAGCACGTGGAACTTATTCTCCTAATAGATAAATTGACTTCGAGAACAAGGAATATAAGTAAATTGGCACAGTTGATGCGAACGAAACAAATACCAAGTTTTTTCTAACTTAATATTCGGTCAAACAAAGTATTCAGCTTAGAGCTTTAATACTGGTCTGTACGTTCATATTTTTAATTGAATTTAATTTCTTAAAGTGCGTCTAAGTTTGTCGTGCGTTAGAAAATTATAGGCCGTCAGCAGAAAAGTGGCTTAACCCACAATTTTTCATATTCGTGCTCATGTATTACATTATTTAAAACAAAATAAATTTTGATGCAAAACTGGTTTATACCTAGTTTCAACCATAGATAACAGATGGCTCTGTAAACATTATTTTGGCGCGTATTGTTTTTGCCTGCGAAGCAGTGTAAAAGTAAATTCAAGCCTCCATGCTAACTATGGTAAGCTTAAGCTACTTTTGCGCTGACAGCCTCATATATACACTCTTTCACAGAAATACTGATCATTTGTTGTAATCAACATTTTAATCCAACCTGTCTGTAGCTGTGTATTACAAAAAACTTAGGTATGTCGGATTGTTTCTTGCATTAGACCCTCACATTCCACCTCGTCTTAAGGTCACGGTTTGTTTGTTTTACCTCCCAGTAGCCTTGAGGGGTTATTTTAGTTTCACCGGACAGGTAAGCTCAACCTGAGAGAACTTGCTAACATCTCACCTAGTAAGTGGCTTAGTGAGTTAAAATACACTGTGGCTATATGCTTTTGGCTAGAATAGAACACCAGCCAGATGGTCAGATCTAGTAAGAGAAGTACTTGGCGGTAGTCTATACCATGCGGTCCATACCACCCACGGTCAAGCACAGTGGAAGAACGTCACATGTGGTCGCGATCCTCAGTAGTGA